GGCTCGTTCACCCCGACTGGGCCTGGGATCCAGCTTGCAACCCATGTACGTGCCCTTGACCAGAATCGAACCTGAGACCTTTCAGTCTATGGGCTGACGCTCTAACCACTGAGCCACCGGCTAGGACTGTTTTCTTTCTTTTCCTTTGCCCTTCTATAGATCACTGGAACATTTTTTATAATTCCATTTTGGTTATTTTTACATGTATTTCTTTGAATAGCTTTTTTAGTGGTTGCTCTAGGTGTTTCGTTATATACAGGGTTGGCAGAAGTAGGTTTACAGTTGTATGTGAAACAGAGTTTATCCTTGTATTATTATTTATTTATTTAATTACTGTATTATTTATTATTATCATTAACCTATGTTTGCCCACCCTTGTATATAAGTAACTTATCACAGTCACTTGGTGTCATTATTTATCGGTTTGAATCAAGTATAGAAACCTTACCTCTCTTTACATCCCTTTACTCTCTCATTTATGATTTTCTTAAAATACTTCTGCTGGGTTGGGGTAGAATTTCAGGTTTCCCATGTTTCTCCACTGACACAGCACAGGAGGAAAGCTTGTTACTTCCTGGTGAGATGAAAGTTCTGGCTCCCTACTCAGCCTTCTCTGACATCACCCTGGCAGGGGTAGGTTAGGCCCCTCATTATTGTCCCTTGAGTAGACCAGACTCCCCATTCAGCCTTTGCTGGTATAGGTGGGGCTGCGGCCATAGTTTTTTTCTGTGGTGCTTGGTTGTAGCAGAGCAGTTACTGTCTAAACAGTGGTTCTCAACTTGTGGGTCGCGACCCCTTTGGCGGTCGAACGACCCTTTCACAGGGGTCGCCTAAGACCATCCTGCATAGCAGATATTTACATACGATTCATAACAGTAGCAACATTACAGTTATGAAGTAGCAACGAAAATAATTTTATGGTTGGGTCACAACATGAGGAACTGTATTTAAAGGGCCAGAAGGTTGAGAACCACTGGTCTAAAAGTTTCTGTGTTATCAGGAAATATTGCCCATTTCCTGGTCCTATGGCTAGAGAGAGAGGCTTTCCTTGGGCTTTTTTTTGGTCTGCACCCATTGGCCTTTCCAGATTGCTAGCTTTGTTAGCTCCAAGTCTGGGCTATCCGAGGCAAAAAGAAAACTGAGGAAACGCACTCCCATGATGTTCTTAGGGGTCTCAAAGTCCCTAGCCAGTCTGCCTTCTTCTCCTCACCTTTCAGTCTCCTGTTTGTTTTACATATAATGTACTTATCATGAGGAAGAGGAAAAAGTATGTACTCTCCATTCCCAGAAGAAGTCTACAAATGGATTTTATACAACTGCCCCCAACAATGTTTGGTCACTATATGTCTGTTCTCAGGATATATCAAAACTTGTCAAGAAGCCAATAAAAAATATTCTTTAAAAAATAAAGTATCAACAGCAAGTACATATGGTTGGTGCATACTTCTCTAACTTCACTTTTTTCACTACTTCCCTAAACTGGTAATCTCAAATGTTTTTTATTTCATACCCTTATGAGTTCACAAGAAGCATGCACCCTCAGTAAATGTATATTTACTTTAATTATGCACAAATATACTAATAAAACACATATATTATAAAACATATTTACCAAATACAAATCTTTATAAGGTGAGAAAAACAAGTGAACATAATGAGTGATCATAATTTCTTTGAGCATCCCAATGACTGCTTTGTGTACCTTCCCCTCAACTTGCACTGCCTATAACTTCAGTATCATTGCCTGTAGGTCCCTGCATCATTTTTCTGATGTCATTGTGCTTTTATATATACTACTAGAGGCCTGGTGCACGAATTCGTGCACCAGTGGGGTCCCTCAGCCTGGCCTGCGGGATTAGGCCAAAACCGGCTCTCCAATGTCCTCTGAGGGGTCCCAGATTGCGAAAGGGCGCAGGCCAGGCTGAGGGACCCCACCGGTGCATGGTCAGGGCCAGGGAGGAAAGCGGGAGGATGGCCAGCTGAGGAGGGACCACAGGAGGGTTCCAGGGCATGTCCGGGCCGTCTTGCTCAATTCTGATGGGCCGGACCCCAGCAGCAAGGTAACCTACTGGTCAGAGCGTCTGCCCCCTGGTGGTCAGTGCACATCATAGTGAGCGGTTGAGCGGCCTTAGCACATCATTAGCATATTACGCTTTGAGTGAACGGATGACCGGACGACCAGACACTTAGCATATTAGGCTTTTATTATCTAGGATGATTCTCTCTGCCTAGAACAGTCATTCGTCCACCTGGCTATTGTCCTTTCTTCCCATTCTTTCTTCCCGTTACCTCTGCATCCAACTCTACTTGGCTACCTCCTTTGTATTTGGTAAAACTCAGCTTAAATGTCATCATCCCTTAAAGTTTTCCCCAACTCTATCACCTACCACTCCAAATTACTGTAACAAAGGACATTGATGGGAACAGCAGAAAGACTGACTTTAGATTACTACTTGGGAAAAGAAGTATTTGGCCTTTTGAAGAAAGTTAGCCAAATAATATAGCCCAGGATATGGTCAGCTGTACATTCTTTTGTCTACCTTTATGACAGAGACGCAAATGATTAACAAGTGAGTGGATTTTCCACCACTGCTGCTCTCTCCTTTTCAAAGCAACCCTCAGCACTTACCTCACTTTCTGGAAGAGCCTTTTAGGTGTCCTCATCACCTCAGGCTTAGATCCCTCCAATCTATTCAACAGAACCCTGAATGGTTCCTCACTACTCATATAAATCCAGCTTCCTTAGATGTGACATTCAAAGCTTTCTCCATGATCTGGATTCAACCTACCATTCTAGCTTTCTCTACCACTGCTGCACTGCTTAGATGACCCAGACTTCAACCAAAAACACCTAACTTCCCTCTCCAGAACCTGCACCACATCACACTGCACCTTTCTGATATCTCAGCACATTTTTGCTCAGAGGTGTCTTCCACCTAGAATACCCTTCTATGTAATTCTGTCTCCCATGTGGCATTGGAATCCCATCCATCTTTCAAGGAATGGGCCCACCCCCACCTTCTGCTTGAGCAGTCCCGGATCCCCACAATTGAAATGCAGCCTTAAACTGTATAACTTTTCATAGTGTTGAGAACACCAATGCACTTTATCATCATAGTAGCCCTTTTTATGCTCCTTTTACAAACTCGGCCCAAGTGCTCTGCTAAAGTCACTGCAGCCAATGATGGAACTGGGGATTCAAATGTAGGTCTTCTGACTCCAAGTACCCTGTGCACACACCATATCACAGATGCTATCGTCAAGAATTTCTTCCTCCTGTGCTCCCAGGATGCTTTCTAATTTTAACAGCACGTTACTCCCAGTTCCATTTTATGTTAGAGTTGGTGTATATTTGGTGAAGGGACCTCATCTTGTTCATCCCAGTATACCCAAACATTCTTTATATATAGCAGGTAATCAGTAATCAGGCTGGATTTAATTCATTTAGGTTTTTAAATTTACTTCATCTCAAGTTCCAAAATTAGTGCTGAAAACAGTACTCCAGAAGTGGAGGCTGGAAGTGTGGCTCCTCCCTGAACAAGTTAAAGTTACTCAATACCTATGTGCCAGTCTCATTTGTAAAATGGAGGTAATGCCTGCTTCATAGGATTGTTGTGAGGATTAAATTAAGTAATGTACGTAAGACAGCCACTCAGGGCCTGACACACTCAATATATATAAGCTGCTAGTACAGATTCCATTTTATGTACCCCACATGGTAGTACCTCAAAGGTCAAAAAATTCTGATTTCAAAAAAGAACTACTCCAAATCACCAAGAGGAATTTAGACTATGAGAAGTGTAAATTAAGAATGCAAGGAAGTGTACTGTACAAATTTCATAAAGATCTCCCTGAAAAAAATCTACTAGCCCAATACATAAAATCCCCAGTTACCTGGGAAATCAATATATACTGAACGACTCTATGTGAAATAACTAGGTATTATTATTAGAAGGTATACAAGTGAGATGAGTGTGAGAGATTTTATATATATTTGCCTAAGAACCAGATGTTAGTCAGAGGCTTTCGCAATTACAGGTGTATGACTACTTCGCCCTGAAGGCAAAGAGCAAGGAGGGACCACAGTCATGCACCCCTCTTAGAGGGCTGCATAAAGCACATTTAATCCTCAAGGAATTTAGAATTTCCCCAGCCCATTGAATAAATACATGAAGGCGTTTACTGACACTGATGAGTACTAGAAACCCCCCCGACTGCTGTGTCTAATCTTGACAACGCACCCAAGTACCACACCTCAGTGAGTTAGTTACACTGACTCTTAGTACAGACATGTTAAGCAAGCTGGAGGGATGAAAGCCTTCATGTGCAACAGGTCATTCCTCCACCGAGTAGATCGGTGAAGAAACTTCTACGATTCCTTTCGGATCTAAGCTCCATGATTCTGTGATCTCTCCTAGGGCTACCTCGCACAGGCAGGGCAGAAGGGTGGCTGTGAGCATAGAAGCGAAGGAAAAGCGAAATTCTGGGCGCGGTTAAAGCCGAAGCGATCAAATTAGCTTCTAGGAGTGGAGCCTGGAGCCAGGGCAGTGACGGAAAAGTGATGCAGGCTGGGAGAGGCCGGCATGGACAGAGACCTTCGAACCTGGGTTGGGAGTTAGTTCTGAAATTGCTCGTCTTATCCGCCACGGTTACTGACCTTGGGAACACGCACACCCACAGACAACGGATCTGAATCTGAGTTAGTTGTGGCTTCCAGTTAACATCCCCAAATTAAAAAAGTTAATGCAAGTTGGGTTGCAGGCTTTGAAACCATCTGAAGAACTGGACCCTCTCACGGAACCCCCATTGCACACCATTAGCCCTCTCCCCAGCCCACTTCGGCCCGTCCGAGGCGGACAGAGTTGCACAAGCGGTCGAATGGGGTTCGAATCCAGTCCGAGCCGGGCCTGGCTGAGCCCGGGGATCTGCTCTATCTTTGGACCCCAAAGGCGTGGGCCACGCTGGGCTCCCCACTCGGGAGAAATAGGTTCTGCGCCCACCTTGGTGCTGGGGTCCGGGTCCGAGCAACAACCGAGGGCAGCCTGGTCGGTAAGGCCGCCTGACGCGGGCTGCGGCTCTGCCATGGCTGCACTGCTGTATCACGGACGAGGGTAGGCTCCCGCTGCCTTCCAGCCAATAGCTGTGCGGAGAGCAAATTGGTTCTGTGCTGATTGAGTGCCAGTGAGTCAGCACCTCCAGCCACAGAGGTCTGTGCCCCGAGACTACAACTCCCAAGGTGCCGTGCGCCTAATGGAGGCCCGCTTAAGGGGCAAGAAAAACAACAAACAAACAAACAAACAACACTGTTGGATGACAAGAGTGGTTTTTCTTCGTTGTTTGATGACCTAATTTTTTTTAAGTTCATCGCTTCTCGGCCTTTTGGCTAAGATCAAGTGTAGTAAAGTTCAGTAACCACTTATACCTCAGGGCTACAACTTGGTAGGAAATTGTTTCTGATGGAAAGAGAATTGGGAGTTACTATTTTTAAAGTATAGGAATCCCAAAGTCTAAGTTTAAACAGAACAGGATAATTAAGACAGTTCTGACTTAGTAAAAAAAAAACCTAGGTTCAAGTTTTTGGTTCCACTATTTGTTAGCTTGGTATAACTGGCCCCTCTGAGCTTCCTTGCAGGATTTGGTTGAGGATCAAATGAGATTTGTCAGTGTTTCACACTTATGCGTCAAAGGTCAGCACTTTCACTGTGTTTTAAGTTAATTTTGCTAATACACATATTTTAATTGTCTTCATTTGAAGACTTAGTCATCACTGTTGTCAATTAAGGGTTGTTGGTGCCAATTCAATGCCAACAGGAATCCCCAGCTTGGGGTGTGGTGAAGAAGGAAACTATTTCGTGCAAACAACTCAACTGTGATACAGCAAGGCTGGTGGCTGTGGAACAGCACTGACCCAGGCTGCTCTGGGGCCAGACCCCTCTCCAGTTAGACAGCTGTGTTCCACTACACTCAGGCCTGCTTCACTCTGCTTATTTTTGCTCCAGCACTGATTTGATCAAAGTGTTTCAACTCCAGCCATGGAAACACAGTCTGCAACTTTCAGTCATCTTCAGTCATCTGGAGAAAGGGAAAGTGCACTGAGCCAGAGGGAAGCTGACTTACATAGATAAGTCTCTGCCCCTTTTCCCTGATAGGTCCGTTTTTATGCAGAGGAGGAGTCCAAATCCTCAAAGTCTGATTGGTCCAAAAAAAACCACCAAAAACCCCACTGTCCTGACTTGTCAGTGAAGATGCTTATGGGAATATAGATGCACAATTCCAATTGGATGGGGAAAGCCTCAATCCTATTGCTTGAGAAATTCCTTTGTCAGGGCTTGCTTAGATGACAGAAACACAATGCCGGTGGGCAGTTCAGTGCTGGAGGCAGATAGTTTAGTGCAGGATTCTCCCTGAAATGCAGTTTGCATGAGAGGTTCCTTGTGTAGAAATGGCTGCTAGGTTCTGTTTTTTCAATTTGAGCCCATTTAAGCTACTGAGAGCCCTTCTTAGTAGGTATCTTCTTTCTCAGGATCCACACTGTTCTATGATGACTAGAACAAAATAAATATTTCTTGTTGTTAAAAGACTAACTATCATTAGTGGTGAATACATAACTTAGAAAATAACTTTGTTAATAAATGAATGAGTGAAAGAGAATGTTTTTTAAAAATAAGTTTTATTGACTTTTTAGAGAGAGAGGAAGAGAGAAGAGAAACATCAACGTGAGAAACATCGATTGGTTGCCTCTCAACACAGCCTGACTGGGGACCGAACCCACAACCTGGGCATGTGCCCTAACTGGGAATTAAACCAGTGACCTTTTGGTGCACGAGACGACACTCAATCAGCTAAGCCACACCGGCCAGGGCTGAAAGAGAGTTTTTAAGTGAATAGGAGGGTCTCTTTAAATTAGCAAAAAGATATATGGATGTCAGAAATGTTGCTTGCAAGGGGTTAGGCAAAACGGGAACCTATTGGCTAACCTAACCAAACTGAAGCAGGGCAGGGATGCCTCTGGCATCAGGCATCAGGAATCTGGGACTATGCCCTTGGACACCACCAAGATGTCTCCATCTCTCATCTCAGCTTCTTTCTTCATGTCAGCTTCATTTTGTCAGGCACACTTGCTCCAGTTGTCTAGTCACTTGAAGTTTTCAGCCTCTCAGTTTCTCACCAGAGAGGAATTAATCTCCTCCCTGAATTCCAATTTGATAAAATCCAGGGAGAAGCTATGATTGGCCGAGGCTATGACCTGTGCTTACTACTGCGGTCAAGGCAGTTTTGATTAGAACTTA